CCCCGTAACACCGAGTTTATTAATGTGATATAACAACTGTGACCTTGTTTAACCTCTGTCCTGATGCTGGTTGTATGTGGTGGTGTTGTTGTATCTCGTTGTTGTACCGGCGGCGTTGTGCTGTACCCTGTAATATTACGCTGTATTCAAATGTTGTATGTATTATAATGCTGTTTTTTTGAGATTGTGTTGTAATTCATTGCTGTATCGTTGCGTTGTATCTTGTAACGTCGTGGTGTAAGTTTATTCCTGTAGTGTTGTGTTGTAGCTTGTAACATCGTGCTGTAATTCAATCTTGTACAGTTGTTGTTGTTTTGTAATATCTGTAATTTCGAATCCCTTTTTTTTTCTTCTTCTGTACCTTGTGATGTCAAAATGTATAGGTCTTTAATGGTTCACTTTACCCAGGGGACAAAAACTCAAACATGGCTAAACTGGTGACGAAATTTACATTGTGACTCGACCATAATATAAACACACCTTAAGGTATAACGGGAGATAAAAAAAATAATTGAAAAAAAAAAAACCTACAGTACTTGAAAAAAAAAATATATCCCTCAAACTTGGAACTAAACAAGAACAACATTATCAGTCAAGTCAGGAGAGGCAAGTATACTATGATGACAAGAAAACTCAGTGTAAAAGAAAGAATTTAACTATTTGTACAGTAGTATCTTGTATAGCCTGTGGTTCCCTCCCTAGCGGCACTTAGTTTGGAAGGGAAGCAATTTGTGTAAAGGAGAGACGCCTTGTATACTGTATGTGTTAAGTAGATTGGCTGTCGAGGGGAATTTTATTAGCATATTAGAGAACAACTGTACCATAAAGTTACTTGTCGTGAGGATACACACACACACACACACACACACACACACACCTGACACTGGGATGAAACTTAAGGGAGAATTTCAACCACACAACCACATAAGTCTGGTTCATTTTTTGGGGGGTGAGGATGTGGTTGTGGTGTGGTTGCTGTGGTTTTATAATGTGAAGGGTAATCACCGTCTCATTTTATTGACGCAACCACACAACCATGATTTTTTTTTATGGTTGTCGGTGGTGTGGTAGCGTATTAGTGGTGATATTTAGTGGTTATGTTGAAAATGGTAGTTATTACAACATTAGCTTATGAACACACTTCCACCACCACACAACCAAGATCTTTATAAGTTAATAGTTGTTGTTGTGGTGGAATTCGTGTGGTTGTAACTATCGCACCCCCAGGTTACGAGTCAAATACCATGATCCAACCACATTTTCTTATGATTGTCTGTTAGTAGGATGCTAGTGGTAGTTGTGGTCACTGGCCTGAACCTGATCCCACTGAACAACCACAATTCTTATCTAGTTTACTGGTGGTGGTGGTGGTAGTGGACATGGTTTTTGTTGTTGGTAGTGATGGTGGTGTTGATGGTAGTAGAAATGATGGTGTAATGGTAATATGGTGGGTATGGTGATTATGGTTAAGGTGATAGAAGCTCTAAGGTAATAAGTGGCTGTTCTATCATGGGGGATTTTATCATGACTAAGTGTTGAGAGATCGGAAAAATAAACAATAATATCCCATTCCTCCTCTTCCCCCATCCATTCCCCACGCCGCCCTCCACGCCCTCCCCACGCCCTCCTCCACGCCGCCACCACGCCACGTATCAACTATTGAATCACAATATGTATCTGGAGCACAAATTAATACGTTAACCCTAAGGGAACAAAAGAGAGATTGAATTAAAGGTAATTGATTCCTGAAGGCGGCGTAGGACTCCTGAAGGCGGCGTAGGACTCGCAGTTGTGAGCAAAGGACAATGAACACAGAGTTATAGACCTCTAGTATCAGTGAAATAGGACTTTTTAGTTTTCTTAAAATCCGAAAAATTAAAATGAATGAAATAATGAAAAAAATGAACGATTTTTTTTCTTAAAATTTCCTGGGATTGATAGTAGTATATAAATAAATGTATATATAAGTGTGTATATGTGTGTGTATACCGACAATATATACTAGTTGAATATTTAGATTGTCGATTTAGAACGTGTGTTAATTGCCTACTTAGTATGTAGATTACGAGACATGACAACCAGGGAGGGAGGGGCAAGAGGGAGGGAAGGGAAGGAGGGAGGGGCAAGAGGGAGGGAAGGGAAGGAGGGAGGGGCAAGAGGGAGGGAAGGGAAGGAGGGAGGAAATGAGGGAGGACAAAGACGAGATTGATTTTTAAGTAAATAATATGAAATTAGTGTACATGAGATGGTGAGTAGTGAGTGTGTGTGTGGGGGGGGGGGTGGGGTGTAATGGTGGCAGTGATGGTGACAGAAGTGTTGGCAGTGGCCAGTGAGTGGTGACAGAAGTGGTGGTAATGGTGACAATGTGGTAGCAGTGGTTGGTAATGGTTAGTGAATGGTGACGGTAATGGTGTCAGTGAGTGGTGACAGTAATGGTGAAAGTAGTGGTGGCAGTGGGTTAGTGAATGGTGACAGCAATGATGGCAATGGGTTAGTGAATGGTGACAGTAGTGGTGGCAGTGGTCAGTAGGTGGTGACAGTAATGTGTGACAGTAGTGATGGCAGTGGTCAGGTGTGGTGGTGGTGGCGGCGGCAGGGCACGCGATTCTACCACCACCAATTGTCACATCAGATCTTATCGTCAGTGCCTCCACGTGGACGTAATTGCTGTGCGGTAATTAAGGCCACCACTATCACCGCCCCTGCTCCTGTTGTTGCTGTTCCTGTTACTGCTACTTCTAATGGTACTTTTGACACCTGTGCTTTCTGCTGCTCCGAGATTGCGCAGAATTCCTGACCCGTTCATCTTATGTGTTGATGTTGTGAGCTAGTTATCATTTCAGGACATTGTGTGTGCGTGTTTATGTACATACATACGCTATAATTTCAGACACTATTTCCCTGCATTTGTATTTTCAGTTTATTCTAAGTGCGTGTTTTTCCCCCCTCTCTCTCTACCTTAAATAAGAAAATAAAAATTGGTCGCTTGAGAATTAAGAAAAAAAAAATAACAAGGTAATTCACACCAACACGTATACGACCCCCACGAATATTAAATCAAGTTTACAATCCAGTCTACGACGTGTGGACTTATCTACACCCTTTATCTTTATTTCCTTATCTCTATTCCCATCTTTATTCCCGTCTTGTCATTTATCAACTTTGTTCTTATCTCCTTCATTAGTAGTGTGGTTTTTTTTATCACCTCTGTTATTACCTTTTTTTTTTTTACATTGTCGTATGAAAAAAAAAATCGAATTACTTATAGTTTTCAGGAAAGTGTTTGAGTGTGTTTGTTTATTTTATTTGGTTTGAGTTTATTTAGCTTTGTCTTAATGTATGTTTTTGTAGCTGTGGTTTAGTGTAGCTGTCAGGTTGGAGCTACAAAACTACATAATTACAAGATGAAAGTCAGGTTTAATATATATTTCTACATTTAAATAAATATAAGTTTGTTTTAGTGTGTGTGATGAATAAGTCAGGTGTGTGTAGGTATTAGGTACTCTTAGCATCAGTGTACCTATCGTGATCCTGGCCCACAACACACCTGACTCACAACACAACACACCTGACCCACAACACAAGACCCACAACACAACACACCTGACCCACAACACAACACACCTGACCCACAACACATTTCCTGACCCACAACACACCTGACCCACAACACACCTGACCCACAACACACCTGACCCACAACACAACAGACCCACAACACAACACGGGTTTAATGGAGGGTAGATAAGGCAGTTGGTCGCACTGTTAAGGGTCGTTAGGTTCTTCACACACACAGGTAATTACTGCAATAACGAGTCCAGGTGCTTGAAGGAAGGTAATAAATTGTGGGTTGAGAGTCGCGTGATTGTAACTAGGACGGGTAAAGACCAAGTGTAGTAGTTAAGGGAAGGTTGTTTTTTTGTTTTCTTGTGGTTTACGTACACGCACGTATATACAGAGATGTGTGTATCTATAGACATGCGTGCAGTTATACGTACAAACGAGCTTTGTTTTTTGTTCTCGATAAACCGTTAGTTATTAGTATTGATGATATAAACACACACGGGGCACTAATGATATCTGCTTTTAAATATTTTCTTGTCTCGTCCTTCCCAGATCGTAATAACGTCATTATTACACAGGTGATGTTATACCTTTTATTTAGTTAATTATCTGCTCTACATTACGGACCAGTATCTATTCAGTGTCGCGGGAAAGCTGTACGCGAGGGTCCTGGGGTAGACGATATTGATTCGTATTTGTTTCACTTGTGTGTTATGTATTACTTAAGGGTACAGTACTGAGGAACCCCAGGTAACACACCCACCTTTGTTGAGGTGGTGTCCGGGCTGCAGGGCGGTGTGGAGGCTGTGGTGGAGACTGTGATGGAGACTGTGGTGGAGGTGGGACGTGTATGTGTACTTTAGTCTGGCCATCTCCTGTTCTACTCGCCTGCGGGCCTCCACTTCCCGCAGTAAAAAGAGCCGCAAGCGTGGGTCTTCTTCGGCAGCGGCTGCAGCGGCGCTGGTCGGCGAGTCGCTGGAGGTCGGCGGTAGCTGAGGGGGAGAGAGATGGTGTTTGATATAAGATTGGCAGACACGAGACAGACAGACAGACAGACAGATAGATAAACAAATAATAGACGGGCAACTGGACGAGAATTATATGGTGGTAGTGGAGGGAGTCCTGCAGCTGCAGTGTATTCAACAATATTAAGACACTAAAGCTACAACACGGTATTATTTCTTCTTCCACATTACAAGACATTAAACTTATTCCTCCAGCGAATCATAATTTACGGAATAAGATATAGTGGTGGGTGATGAAGGTGGTGCCATAATGGAGGGAGTGACCGACCCCTTGAGTGTTGACACAAGTCACCGCCACTAATACCAGCGTCTCATCCCACTACTACTTGACCCTGACACACGAACGTCTTGACAGATAATCACCCATTAACGTCAATAACTACACCGTCAGTGCAACATTCAAGGATGTAATTAGGCTCCCAACTGCTTCACTAAGACTCTCACTAATACCTGGGAGAAGGAGAGACTTTCAAGAGGACTAATGCTCCAACCCTCCATAACACCGAGGCTGTCTTCTCCTGAGGGTCACAGCGGACATCACAACACACAATCCCTTAGCCACTCCCACTCTCCTCTTCTCAGCTGGGTACGTCTTGGTTGTCCCTCTAGGCATGAAGGAGGAGTTACTCAACCTGTGTTGCAAGCTCATACAGGTGTCATCCACTTCCTTGAACAACGATCACATGTGGATTATCGCAATATCCCCAAAATTCCACATGGATGACCAATACACGATAAACAAATACATCCAAACAACTTGTGAGCCTCTGGGTGACCTGGTGATCAGACACACAAGTAGTGACGATAAAAGGAAGAAAAAAAAGTTCAAAATTAAAAGTGTAAATATTTATTGATGTATGACTAGAATTAAAAACCACTAACATATAGAATTAATGCTAAGGGTGTGTCATAAAACTCCCCTGGGTAGTGAAGAGGTGGTGTAGATCACTGGAGGTGTATGTAAGGTGTTGAAGGGTCACTCAGCCATGTTAATATTGAATGTAAATATCAGAGATCATGTAGGGGGAAAAATATAACTATTTATCCTTGAGGAATTATGAACAGAGAAAGAGGGACCGAGACAGACAGACAGACAGACAGACAGACATATAAGATAAACAGGTTGACGGGGGGGGAGGGGGGGGGAATGATCACTGTAAATCAGAAATCCTCAACGTTTTATCTACATTAAAAACTAATATCAGCAAACTGCGTCGCCCTCAAAGGTTGGTTCAGCACCAGACAGCGTCCACGGCATAGCTACCACACAGACGTGTCTCACTAGACTCTCAATAAGGTAATCAAACGTCGTGCTCGTTTGGGTCGCCTCTCCATTCTGCTAAAGCCAAGACGTCTAGCCGACCACAGAAAGATTCTCTTAATTGGAGCCGCCGTGAATAGCGCCTCTCAAAAGAACCTCCCATTAGGGTGTTACACGCACTCTTCGGGCCGGTTTGCAGACATAAAATTACACCGGCAACACACGGTAACTCTCACACTTAAAGACCTGAGACTTAATCCTCTACGGATGGTGGGACTCACGCTCGGGAATTCAAAGCTTGGGGGAGGTAATTAGTATTCTTATCTTCGAGTACCGAGCCAGAAATCTCCTGACGAATTTGTTTTGCCAATTACTAGGATCTTGAAGCCTGCTGCTCTTTGTCGCTCAGGTGTGCCAATAGCTTATTACAGGTGTGTGTGTGTGTGTGTAAAGGACTCGTGTTTTAACTATTGACAAAACGCCATAATTGAGGTTAGTCAGTTACCTTAAGACGTAACCTGAGATTCTCTTTCCCGTATTAAATAAAGAAGTTGTTTTCTCCCGTCGGTAATTCCTCTAACCTTGTAGGCAGCGACACCTACGAGGAGAATCTTGAGAGAAATTGATCCTTTTCATAATTAACGCCAATAAGGAGTAAACGCCATATTCTCGAGCGATTTATCTTTCCTTTTCCTTAGCTTTTTCTTCATTGCAAGCGGGAAATATCTTTAAAGGTCTTTCAGGGTTGCATAAGATAATTTTTTTTGTGGTATAGAATTTTTTTCGGGAGGGGGGTGAGATAATTGTTTTGTTTTATAATTATGTTAAAGGGTTGAATAAATGAGAGGTTGAGCATAAATATTTACACAAACTCACAGAACACACACACACACACACACACACACACACACACACACACACACACACACACACCCACACCTTGGACAGAACCCGACGATAGAAACTTAGATAGAACCCAATAAAAGAACAATGGGACAGAGAACGTTGATACACAAAGGAGGCAACATGACCGACACTGCACCCTACTGCCTTCATTTCCTCAACTGTAAAGTCAGGTATCCTCCATCTACAGCAGGGGAATACAAAAGGCTCCTCCACCTACAGCAAGGGAATACATAAGGCTCCTCCACCTACAGCAGGGGAACACATGAGGCTCCTCCCTTCCCCTACGTATGAGAGCATCTAACATTTCTATTGCTGCAACAAGCTGCAACTGTAACCCAAGACGCTGGGTGTGCAGGTTGCCGGGGAAGGAGGGAGGGAAGGGGGGGGGATGAGTGGAGTTGTGGTGAGGGAATGGAAGAAGGAAAAGGGAGTGTGATGAGGGAAGGGTGGATGGATGGAGAGGAAATGTGAGGACGGAAGGGAGGAGTGTGGTGAAGAAAGGGAGGGAGGGGAAGTGTGGTGAGGGAAGGGAGGAGGGAGAGGTTGGGAGGGGGAGTGTGGTGAGGGAAGGGAGAAGGGAGAGGTTGGACAGGGAGGAGGGGGATCAACACTCAAGGAGGCGAGGCACCGCCCACTCGAGGCCGTAATTGGACCGCCTTGCTCACTCCTCCGCCTCCTCGCCGCCAGCTTACGCGTCTAAATTAAACCGTCTAAGCTGCCTTCACCTCCTCCACTCAAGAGGCAGCTCCTTACACCAGGCAAAAGGAACGACCCGGATATTAACTACACGAGGAGCGATGGAATAAGACCCTTTTTATTTCACATGCAAAAAGGCAATGTGTGTCGAGTGTCCAATTTACCTGAAGGAAAGTAAAGTCTGCGGCGCGCTTCACGGGGATGGGTTTGTTACATCTGACTCGTTAAATTTGTTTTTCTTTCACCTTAAAAGACTCGTCCGGTAAGAATTTATACAGAGTCGGTGAGATGTTAACATAAAAATTCTTGCTGTTATTAAGTAAAGCTGGTGGAAAGCCCCCCCCCCCCTTCCATTAAATATGCAAAACTAACCAAGTTGATTAGACGACGAGTTTTCTTAATATTCCGTGTCGAGGGAACGGCTGAGCAAACTCCTAAAGGGTAGCTGGCTGGCTAGTCCTGGTTCTCGTGGTTCGATGTCAACAGTTACAGGAGTAGGGCATTATAGTCTACGTGTTCACCAGGTCTAGAACCGTGATCATGACTACACTCACCAGACGTCTGCAAAACCTTACAATGTTTTTTTCTCTTTCAAAGTAAAACAGACAAGAAATTCACCTTGAGTTGTTAGTCTGTGGTGACGCTGCTTCCATGGCAGGTTAGGTTAGATTAGGTTAGGTTATACTAGGTTAGGTTATGCTAGGTTAGGTTATGCTAGGTTAGGTTATACTAGGTTAGGTTATGCTAGGTTAGGTTATGCTAGGTTAGGTTATACTAGGTTAGGTTATGCTAGGTTAGGTTATGCTAGGTTAGGTTATACTAGGTTAGGTTATAGTAGGTTAGGTAATACTAGGTTAGGTTATGCTAGGATAGGTTATACTAGGTTAGGTTATACTAGGTTAGGTTATACTAGGTTAGGTTATGCTAGGATAGGTTATGCTAGGTTAGGTTATACTAGGATAGGTATACTAGGTTAGGTTAGGTTAGGTTATGCCTGATAGTTAAACGCCCTCTGTAACACCACTATGAGGAACAGCAACCATACGTCAACACAAACGGCTTCTAATCCATTTAGAAAGATTAGTGTGGTCGTAACTCTTATTAAAGCATCTCACTTGACCTCACCTGTGATATATGTAGAACAGCTGTGTTGCTTCCCCCCAAAACACACACACACACACACACACACACACACACACACACACACACACACACAGGGATCCTTTGCTCTTTTACTTCACTTGAGAAATACAGGATAATTTTACGAGAGAGAAAGCAGACAGACAGAGAGAGGGAAAGACACAGACAGACAGACAGACAGACAGACAGACAGAGGGAAAGAGACAGACAGATAGACAGAGAAAAAAAGTTTCACCATAGGAAAAGGCTACTCACATATTCACCCTTCCTCCACTGAAACAAAAACTCGCCCAAAATGTGTGTGGTAAATAGCCCGGAGACTAGCAGCTCGGAACACTCAAACATAATCAAGGGGGAGCTTAGGGCGGTGCTGTGGGAAGGAGGAGAGAGGGAGAAGGAGGGAAGGGGGGAGAAGGAGGAGAGGAAGGGAGGAGAGGAAGGGGAGAAGGAGGAAAGGGAAGGCGGACATGGAGATGGAGAGAGAGTGAGGCAGAGAGGGAGGGAGAGAGGGAAGTGAGAGAGAGAAAAAGAGGAGCAAGAGGAGAGGGAGGAAGGAAGGCAGGAAGAGGAGGAATCTTATTTTAACGTAAGACAATTTAGTGATATAAATGTCTTTGAATTGATCTCATGTTTGCGATGTTATTTTGTTTATAAATCGCAAGTATATATGTTTGTTGTGTTTGTTGTGTTTGTTGTGTTTGTTGTGTTTGTTGTGTTCTTGTATGTATTAAATCACACTCACCAGCACCTCTTAACGGCATTAAAACTAATCTGACGGAGAAATGGAGGGAGAAGAACGAGGGGGAGGAGGAGGAGCAGCAGGAGATGTTGGGTGGAGGAGGAGATGTTGGGGGAGGAGGAGCAGGAGATATTGGAGGAGGAGGAGCAGCAGATGATGTTGGGGGAGGAGGAGGAGCAGCAGATGATGTTGGGGGGAGGAGGAGCAGGAGATGATGGGAGGAGCAGCAGATGTTGGGGAGGAGGAGCAGGAGCAGGAGATGTTGGGGAGGAGCAACAGGAGATGTTGGAGAGGAGGAGCAGGAGCAGGAGATGTTGGGGAGGAGCAGCAGGAGATGTTGGAGGAGGAGGAGCAGCAGCAGCAGGAGATATTGGGGGAGAAGGAGGAGGAGCAGGAGATGTTGGGGGAGGAGGAGGGATGTGACGCCAGGCCCACAGCTCTAGTTTACAGACAACCCTAAATATAAGGCAAACAAGAAGGTCAAACAAGGCAGAGAAGCGTGTGAAGGCAGAGGATAGGAGAGTGTCTGTGTTTAATGAACAGTAAACACGCTTTACATTCAGCTGTGAACAAAAGGACGGTGTGCTAAGCCGCTTAAAAACATTAATGAATGGCTGCTGCCGAATGACCCTCATGTAAAAATGACTGAGTAAACAGGGGGTGACGTGGGAAGCGAACCCTCGTACCAGAATTGGAATTTGACCGAGA